AGCTTCTCTGGGCAACCTGTTCCACTGTCTCGTATAAAATAATTAATATTAAAGTAATTAATCAGGGACAGAAAACTTTTTTTTTTCTTACTGTCAAGATAGACCAGCCTGCCTGCATCCCCTTCAGCAGTCGTAGGCGTTTGCATCCGTTTGTGCCACCTCCATACCGTAATTTAACTGTGTATTCTGTTAGCTGCTGCACACTTTAGTGTTGCCAAATAGTGTTTGTTTTTTTTTACCCTGAATCCGACTTTATTTTGATAGCAGTTAGAAACCAAAATGCAGAAAAGGAGTACTTCAGGGTTAGTAAACAATCACTAGATTGCAAAATGTTCCCCAGATCATTTAATACTTACTACTTTGCTAAATACTGATGAAGCAAAAGTGTTAACTGTAGTCTGTTATTCTAATGGAGATGGCAAACACTGTCTAAAAGCAAGTGGTCTGTTGTTTTGGGTTTTTTTTTCTATTCATTCCACCTCAGACTGCAAATGGAAACAGGGTTCCTTTGAACAAACTAATAATTGACCCAGACTAACTGAATTAAATGGAATGGAAGATTTTTTTTTTCCCCTCCTTTCAGAACCTGCTGAAGAGGCCACTGTCATCAAAACCAGGCTTAGAACTTCAGCAAAATGTTCACAAAGGCTTAGTCAGTAACTTTGAGCACTTCTGTAGTTTGTCCTTCAAAATACTTGTCTATATTCTTTTAAACTGATTTTAGAGTCTGTATTACATTTGCCTCTTAAAGTATGCACCTGCTAATAATTGTTATATTAGATTACTTCTTAATTGCATCATAATTGCGTTATCAATAGCTGACTTGACTCTAACAGATTTGTAATTCCTTTGTTCTTAGCCTTCCTTCTGTTGGCCGTAATGACTAGCCCTTGATCGGTCAGTAGTTATTGTAAAGAAATGTAGGTAGTTGGTTATGATCGAGTTTACATGTTTAAAGAGTTACAGTTAAGTAATCAACTGTGCATGCTCTTAGCTAGCTGTAGGTAAAGCATGCGTATTAAACCTAAATTGTATGTATCCTTGTGCCCACCCCAGTTCCCCCTTTTTCATTTTGTGTACCATTTTCTCCTTTTTTGGGGTAAAAATTTTTCTTCTGGGTGAGTGAGCTGAATCGGCATGGATCAGAGGCTGCTGAAGATGTTGATTTTTATTTTTTTTTTTTCTGTGTGTGTGTGAAAGTTGATACTGACCAGAAAAAAAAGAACATTTTAACATATCCAAACTGTAGTACAGAAAAACAAGTCTTAATTGTAAGGCATCAGTGTTGATCAGTCAAGTAATATTTTAAAATTACAACTTCCTCTTATTATGCAAGAGTTCTTCCATACTTTTTTTTTTTTTTTTTTTTTTTAAGTGATGTGTTGAAGTTTTGCAGCTTTTCTGGAATAAATCGACAGAGATAAAATACTTGAAGTTATTACTACTACCACCTTCAGATTTTTCCATACAATGATAAGGGTAACAGCTCTTTTACTGAAGAGTGTCAATTGTGGGGCTACTGTGCTCTTTAAATCCTTGATCTTCCTGTCCCATTGAAATACAGAAACTAATTTCTTAGAATCACAGCGTGGCTGAGGTGAGAAGGGACCCCTGGAGATTATCCAGTTCAGCCCCCTGCTCAGCAGGGTCACCTACAGCAGGTCACTCAAGGTTGTTTCCAGTTGGGGTTTGAATATCTTCAAGGATGGGAGCTCCACAACCTCTCTGGGCAACCTGTCCTGCTGTTTGACCACCAGCACAGCAGTTGTATTTTTGGTTGGGTCAGGTGTTTTTTGTTTTGTTTTTTTTATGTTTAAGTGGAACTTATTGTATTTCATATTTTCCCAGGTCTCATACCTGAGCAGTATCAGAAAACGTTCTTAATATGTGCTATGTATCTTAATTACAATTATGACAGGTTTAGTACATTGGGGTTGTTTTTTTGTAGAGTAAGTTCTTCATGTGTTTATACTTCATAAGGTTTTCTGAGAGTGGCACTGATCTAAGTCTGAGGATTAACCATACTCCAATATTCCAGATGAGAGCGAAGACTTCCAGAAGCTTGCAGAAAGGGAAATTGCCTCCTGTGAAGAAGAGATAGCTGAACTGAAGCACCAGGTTAGATTCCCTTTAAAAGCCTCTATTTCCTTTCCATTCTTTAATTAACAAAGCCAAATTGTCTTCTCATCAAAATAAGATGTATACGATAAACTGTTCTGCTCCTCCCCTCCCTGCCAGTTGCACTCCTCAACTCATGTGTGTTATCTAAGGAAAATGAAAAATGCAGGTGGTGTAGAGACAGCCTGTAAGTAAGTGCCTACTTATATCCGAAATTTTTTTAATCAATATATCTTTATAAGTAGGTGCTGTAGTTTGTCTTGTCTGGATGTACCTTTATGGATGTCCAGCTTTTTATCTATTGGAAACATTAAACTTGTATAGTATCACATACACTAGTGGGTTTGAAAAAAAAATAGTTTAATACTATGTAACTATTTCAGCCTGCTGTCTTATATAGGTTCTACATAGTATCTATGTTATTTAACATAAAAATAATGATCTTTAGAGAAACAACCTGTTACATATTCTTGATGTTACTAGTGAAGTAGAGGCTGGTGTTGTTATGTTCTTTATTCCTTTGACAACAATACAACAGTCACTTTATAAATATTTTTGTAAATCCTTACAATTTTGCCAAAAGAATAAGTCTGTGGAAAAAACATCACCTAAGGAAGATGATTGAAAAGCGTTTGCAAATCATACAGTTTTCATCCAGCCTGCAAAATTGCGATACGTTTTTTTTTATTCTAGTGTATATTTCTTAGGCTGACTCTCCCTTTTAAACAAATACATGAATAATACAGCTGAGTTGTTGTTGAAGGACTGTCCTTTAACTCTGCAGTTGAGATGGGGTTAAAAAGGAATCTGATGGGAAGTGAGATGCTTAGTTGTCTTGCAAGAACCAGAGTGTATCCAGTGGTGTCCAAGTATCCGGTGAAGTCCAAACATTGCAGCGCTCCTGATGGGTGAAAACCTCTTTTCGTAGGTCTTGAGAGAGACCTATGTAGCTCCTGCACCCTGTGAAGAGATGTGGGGAGCCTTCCTGCAATACAGCTTCCCCCCCACCTCGTCCTGACTGCTTCTGCTTCACTGCAGGGGCATGAGAAGCCCGTCCTCTGGGCAACCCAAAGAGTTAACGCAGGAGAATGCAGCCTAGATACATTACAGAGTTGTCTGGTGTTTTATACTATCTCAGTTGTGGATAACAGTGTCAGAGGGAAGTTTTAGCTGGGTGTTTTTGTATTTGCAGATAGTGTTGCTTTTGATTCCTTCAGAAGAAGCAGACGAGAGTGATCTTGTCATGGAAGTAACAGCGGGAGTTGGAGGGCAGGAAGCCATGCTGTTCACCTCGGAGATATTTGATATGTATCAACGATACGCTGCCTTTAAAAAGTGGAAATTTGAAATATTAGAATACTTTCCCAGTGAAATAGGTCAGTAATGAAAATACTTAATCTTTGTAACTTTTTAATTTAAGGTGAAGGACTCATTCATATAACACTTGAATTTCCTGACTACAGGAAGCTAATTTGCACTAACTTAATTTTAGAAGCAGAAGATGGTTTGAATTTCTGAGTACAATTTTCCTCAGCTTCTGCATTTGGGAATGAAATTCAATTTCAGAAGTACTATTAAAACACTGAAGTGCTAAAAAATAAAACTTGTCTTTCAGTAGTTTCAAAAAGTAGAAATGAAACTAAGTGCTTGGTGGAATAAAATTCACAAAGTGAGGTAGATAATGTTTTAGCTTTACTTTTTTACAAATACAGATTATATATACTTTTTATTTGAATATGCTGTTCTATTTAGTTACTTAATGTTTCTATTGTTTATAGATCAGTTTTGTGGCAGGTTGAAAGTCAAGTCTGTTTATTATTATGGATCCCTCGGCAGAGAGGCATCAGTATAATTTAAACTGGTTTTGAGATTTAATCTAAAACATCTTGAATTTATCTGAAATAATGCCACCTGAGGATTTATATAAGGAAATGGCATGTTTGAATATAGCTTATGTGTAACAACTAATGGATGAGCAAAGTGGAGGAATTGTTGAGACTTTGAGAGGAAGGATAAGAGATCTAAGTATTTATGAAAGTCTTTAACTAAAATTTCACAGGTAATCAGTTTAACAGCTTGATGCCAGTAAAAGGACTTCTTTCTCCTTTTTCCCCTCTTTCTTACTGCCTCTCTGCCTGTCTAAGCAGTCCTACTTTTCCCCCCATCCCCCTTCCCACTCCCTCATCCCCTGCCCTGTTTTGATGTCCTTTCACTTAAACTGGCAAAGACTCCTTTTTACAACAGGGATAGTTTTTTGCCTAGTTAATGTGTTAAGTCAGTTCTCATGAGCCTTACTGCTAGCATAAGATAAGCAGCAACATAGGGCTGAATGCAAGGAGGTGGAAAAACTGGATCTTCTGGTGACAACGAGCTGTGAAGTTGGTTCACTGCATCTCATGGGACAGTGTCTTTGCAAAGATGGGGATTGGCAGGTTTACACAACAAACTCAGGCAATAGTTTAATCCAGTTAGTGTGTAAAGTTGTTTCACAAAGATCAGGCTGCTGTCTCTTTGTTGCTTCAGACTTCTTTGCATTGGCACTTGTAATTATGTGTCTTCCCAGAGTCTCATGAGCAAATTAATTCAACTGGAAACCAGCACAAACCATCCCCCACCCCACCCCCCATTAGTTTTCAGGTGATCCAGCACAGAAAAGGAGAAATGCTCATGGTGGAGGCAGAAGTGTGTGGCTGCTACTGGTGGCAGTGGGAAAACCAGAACCTCCCTCCAGGAGTGAGAGGTTCAGTCAGCTTCAGCCACCTGTGAAACTGCAATCCAAAACATGGAGACATGTCCAAGTGGTGGTAGGAATTTTGGTTTTTGACTGACAGGTTGCTAGCCATGGTTCTCAGCAGGCTAGATTTGCCAAGTCTGCCTGTGTCAACAGATCTGCAGGTGTACTGTTATCTATGCTGTTGTCAGTAAAGCTAGCACACTTCGCTGACCAAAATTTTCCTCTGGAGTTAATTGTATATTATAGTGGGTATGGATCAGTAGGTGGGCACTTGTGCATTTTACTGTTCCTAGCGCAGATCGGTTGTGAAACTTTACCTGTATTCATGCTTTCATAAGGTTGTTTTTGTTTTTTTTTTTTCATTTTTTAGTGAAAATTTGTAGGGGAAATGGGAAAAGGTAGGATGTTAGGGTATACAATCAGAAAAAACTGATGTCTTTTCAGTCAACAATATAATTGCAGAGAGATTTTTAGCAAGCTTTGAGAAGTGTGGAGCATTTTCTAATGCTTCTTCTGTGTTCATATGCCATATTTTGCACTCGATGATATCTTCAAATATCTTGAATGTTTTCAGTTTCAACTGTGTAGAAATTCACAAAAAAACCCCTATCTGCAACTCTTCTAATTGAACTTCTCATGTCATTGAGCTACTTTACTCTTCTAATGAGGGTCTTTCTGTGCCTTAAGACCCTTCTTGCATAAGCACAGTTTTTGATTTAAAACTGTTATATATTAAGGGGTTAAGAGAAGGTTCAAAAACCTGACTCCATGGATGAATATAGTTGGACATCACAAACTGGGAACTTGAAAATTTAGGTACAGGCTTGATTTGTTGTCTGTATTCACAGCTCAAAAAAGAGGCCCATGTCTTCACCTGTCAGATATGCAGACACAATTTGATTTAATATGGATTTCACTTACACTTCTGTGTTCTTAACATATTCAAACAATAACTTTCTTTAGAGTTCTTAGCAGGTTACTTATTTCAAGTTGATGAACGTGAACTCAGGTTGTCACAGTATCACAATGTAGAGTGGCTGCTGTCAATTCAGTTAATATACTTTAATTTCATGAGGCTTGAACTCAGTATTGTCAGTTATCTAAATTTGTTATTAATAATAAACTTTTTTTTTTATGGTCAAGAGGTCATTTGCCAAGTAAACTCTCTGCACAGTTCAGGTGAAGGTAGGGATGAGAAGCAGCTTCATGTTATAGTGTAGCTTGTTGCTGAAAGAGGAAAGTCACATTTATCCCTGTTCATGACCAGGCAAATGCTTTGCCAGGAGCTGAGCCAGTTCAGCCTTCAAAGCCGACAGAAATCCATTAACTTTTTTTTTTTTTAATTTTTAAGTAAACTGAATAAATGTGGTGCACATTGGATGGGTGTAAACAGTATGGGGGAAGGGTCTGGGTCTTTTTTATTTCAGATAGTGTGGGGAGAGCAGTTACCCTTTCCATTGAGGCAAGATGTAGGTAGGGTAAACCCCAGGAGTCATATAAAACTTCAGAGCACACTTTCACCCTGAGCTTAAGCAAGAGCTGTCCCACCTTCTACCTCTATGTTCCTCCTCTCTCTCATCTCTAGCAATTTTGAGGCCACAGTGCTAATTAGATCAATCCACCCATTTGGCCTAAAATGTATCTGTTGTTAGTGGATAGTTTTAAGTCAGGTCTGACTCAACTTGCAGTCCTGTGATTGCAAGAGAAAGGGAGTTGTGCGTGACTACCCTTTTGGTGAAAGCTGGGTCCTTGGACAAGGGCCCCACACCCTCAGAGGCATTCTCTTTAATGCCTTAAATGGGAAATTGAAGTCGTGCATTAAGCTAGTGTATATCTAGCCATATTTTCTATTTGAAACTACTACTTTTTTAATGGCTATATATTTATTTCAAAATCTTTTGTCTTGCCTGTCCAATAAGAGGAATATTTAGGAAGGTAGGATGTAAATTTAGAGAAAAAAAAAAAGGCAGCTCTAGCCTTTCTCAGCCTCTTGCAGTATATTTTCTGATTTTACTGGCATGATCAATGTTACCAAAACTGAGGAGCTAGAACTGGGTTGAGAGGTAGGGGCACTACAGATGGCAGTGCCACTGAAGGGCATGTTTGAACCCTCAGGTTCAATGTGTCTGTGCTGTGCTGAGTTAAGAATGGAGTTGAGGATGCTTGCTGGTGACACTAGGCTGTCGCATTCCATTCATGCTCCATTTTTATGGGCTGCATGAGGAAAAGCGAAGCATTAAAACATCAAGCTCCCTTATTTCAGTGAGCTCCAAAATTTGGCTGAAATCTGAATGTGAGTGTGTGTGAACAATGTGAACGCTGAACAAAGCTGTAATTAAAAATTGGTTTCAGTCCACTCTTAACTGACTTTATTGACCTCTTCCCAAGGAATACTACTGTGCAAAACCAGCACGTTCAAGATTTCTCACACACGTTAAACACAAACTCATGTGTCATTGTTTATCCACTGCCTCTCAACCTGTGGTGGCAGGCAGATACACAGATGTGAGACTTTGTCTCAATTTGGGTATAAGATGCCACATAAAAAATGAGTGCAAACTCCCACCCTTGTTCTGTGCATGTCAACTCTCAGGGTAGAGAGGGGCAATTTAGTGGAAAGGGGCAAGCATATAGTTAGTAAGAGCTATATTTGACAGGCCTATGACACGTCTGGGTAACGGGTTTGTTGAAATTTCATTGGATTTGGCTGCATTTCGTATTAAACCCGTGTAGTTGCTTCGAAGCAGTATGGCCTAAATACCTATCTTTTGAACCAGTTTCTTGGTCATCTTGTGATAAACACTATGGTGCCACAGGCACACTGTTGTCACTAGAAACTTAAACTCTCCTGAATGCGTCACAGATGTGGCTGCAGCTCAAATAGACTGTACCTGTGGTATATATATTAATGCCAGGAGAAGTAAGGGACAAAAGACAGAACATTAGCTTTTGCAGTGAACTGCTTATTGCATTAATTAATACTTGTCAGTAGTGCTATAGCCTTGTGAACATTCACATTATTTTTACTCCTGATGTGGCCTGGCTTCTTCCTTATCTGCAGAGATTTCTGCTTATGATTTTTTTTCGTACTTGCTTTTATATGTAAAGGAGTAAGTTTTATTACTCAGCTACATTAATTATTTTAGGTTGTATAAGAATCTTTCAAAGTAAAAAAAAATATCTTATGTTCATTTGAATAACGTTTGCATAGCAGTAGAAAGATTTCACAGTACCTGTTAGAATAAAACTTACTCGCCTAAAATTAAGATTTTGACAGATATTCTTAATTGTTGAACTACATGCTTTACGGTCAGATTTATTTTAAACACAATGGATTTATCTTACAGAATTGATAGTAGATAATGGTTATAAAGTAAATCAGTTAAGAACTATGTATATTAAACAATATATTTGAATCAAAGTGGTACAGATCTGTACAAGTAGGAGCAAAATTTTAAAAGTCCAAAGGACAAAAATGAGATTAAAGACAAAGGAAGAGACAGTTTAGGCTATTTTCCACAGATGTGACTGTAAAAGGAAATACGTTTATTAAAGTTGTGAGGGAGTGTTAAATTTCTCTAGAATAAAACATTTGCAAACCTTCTCCATGGAGGTGAAAAACCTGGCCTATGATCCAGCTGATAATTTTCTCCTGCTCTGCAGGGCATTTTCAGATTCTATGTTGTCATCATTTTCCTTTTTTAAAAAAGCTGCAATCTTGTCCTTATGCTTGACTTCCTCAGTCTAGAGGTAGCCTAAAATAGTATTTCTGAGAAGTATGTGCCTCTTCTTTTCCTCAACTGTGGTTTCATGTTACAAGACTTCAGCACCAATACTCTTTCAGGGTTGCTTCCCTCTTTATTCATTCCCTTGGCACACCATCTCCTGTGCCGAGAATGGGATCTGGGAACTGGTGGAAAACCAAAACAGGTGAAAAATTGCATTCATTTATAGTGCCATCAGTTCCCTGATCCTTCAAACAGTTATACTGGCACGACTGAAGGGTTTGCACACTGGCAAACAAGGAAGAGCAAGAATGCCATAAACTAGTATTGCAACAAACTGGTTTTGTCATGAAACCATGATTGTATTGTGCTTTACTTATGAGCTGTTCAATGATTGTTTTCAGTACATTGCTGTCGAGTGTTTTGCTGGATGTATGAGTAGGAGGGGCAGGAACTGGAGTTCTGCTCTCTCCAAGGGAACAAAAGATTAAAATGAACTGAAAGAGCAAAGGCAAGACATGGGTAGGATGTATAGAGGAGAATGGATAAGAAGAAGAGTATGAATAATGCTCATACTTTAGTTAGAGGTGGGGTTTTTTCCCCATTGAATGATAAAGTTCTGAAATAACAAATGTAGTTTCTGAAGGTGGCTTTCAAAATTTGATCTTTATGTAAACTCAATACTGATGTTAGAGTTCTGCTATGGCTTATGATTGTATTTGTACTTGTATGTACATGGTTTGTAGACAATCTTTCTATATGTATAATAAATTGGACTCTATAAAAACTAATTTGACAGTCCTTTACTTGAGATAGTGTGTGAGTTTGTACGTCTGGCTTGGTTTTTAAGAGTTTTCTTGCATTTTCAGTATAATTCTGCCTAAGTATTTAATTGGTAAATTCATAATTAAAGAAACAAATGACAGTGATGTCTAAATACACTGTTTGAAATATAACAGCATAGTACCAACAGTTTTTCTTACAGCTTTACAACTGTTGTTCTTCTGTATTTAAGGTGGTCTAAGACATGCAGTTGCCAGTATAGCAGGTCTTGAGGCTTACAAGTACATGAAATTTGAAGGAGGAGTGCATCGTGTTCAGCGAGTACCAAAGACAGAAAAACAAGGACGCATTCACACCAGCACAATGACTGTTGCAATATTACCACAACCCACTGAGGTAATATTTATCTTTCAGTATAACAGACTTTACTGCAAGCAATGCTTTTACATGTCATATTGCTGATACCCAAGTGTTTTCTGTCTTTCTTGTTATTATCTTTTTTTTTTAATCTTAGTTTTACTAAGTCATATTTTTCTGTTTTTATTTTTGCCTAGGGGAATGAAATAAAGAATTTCTGAATTTCCTTATAATCTTAATCTCAAGAAAGTCACTGGCAGTTTACTTCACTGTAATTTGTAAATTCACTGTAACTGTGCTTTGGATGTTTTGTGGGAACTTGTTTTTTGCAAAGTAAAAAAAGACTGAATTAGTTTAGAGAGCTCATAGATTTCTTTTAGCATCCTCTCTTCCCCATTTTTGTAGTGTCCTCACTTGCCCCTTCCAAAGTATATGGGTGATAATTTGTTGCCATATTTGCTTGGTTAAAAACAACTGGCTAAGACTTAAAGCTTTCTTTTGATCTTTGTTGCATGTTGACCTAGCACATTGTCAAAGATGTGACTCCTTCCTATTCTCTCCCAAAGTTGTCTCAATCCTTCTTCTCAGAGACCATCACCCCATTCCAGAGCCAGTAAAGGGAATATGTTCCATTTTATCTGAAAACCATCTGTTCAAGTTCAAATATTGGTTAATTCTGCTGGAAGAGGGTGCAGAGCTTTCAGAGGAGGGGGAAGATTAATGATAGGTTATGCCTTAAGCTACTATTTGTCTGATTTCCCAGCTTCCATCGTGTCCCATTCCAATCTGTCTACAGAGACTTGTTAATATTTTTATAAGTGGATGTGAGCTACCACTCGTAAAGTTTAAAAAGTTTGATCTTGCCTGATTGTGGCTCATAAGGTGAGCCAACTATGCATATTTGACATCTGTCTAGAAAGAAACAACATAACTGTGTTTATTTATTTATTTATTTATTTTTATTTTTGTCTTCCAATGACAGATGAGGCTGCAAATTAACCCGAAAGATCTACGCATAGAAACAAAGCGAGCCAGTGGAGCTGGGGGCCAGCACGTCAATACCACAGACAGTGCTGTACGCATAGTTCATATTCCAACAGGTGCTTCATTTTTTCCTTAGTACAAGATCTGCATTGCAAAGCTGCTGTCATAATTTATTTTGAAACAACAGTTTTCTTTTCAAAACTAGGCAACAGTAGAGCAGATTTTTCACATAATTTTGACATGTCCTTTTAATATACTAACGGCAGAGTCTTGTGCCCATCCCAGTTTGTAATAGTGAAGACTATTGGCTTCAGGTGCTACACTATCTACTGTGCTATTAAGCATGACACTCTAACAGCATCCAGATCAGTTTCTATGAAAAAGTTATATTTAAGCTTTCAAAAAATAAAAAATAAATTGAAAAACAGAGTAGGTTAAAATCTGATTATTTGCCTTTTCTTGACTAATCTTCAAAAGAGACATGGCTCTATTTCCATATTAAAATGTTGCTTTTAATTGTAGAGTCTACTCAGGATGCCAGCTTCCATTTGTCTGCTGGCTCCTTTCCCATAGATTACAGACATAATTAGGAGGCACGTCCCCAGGGCTCAGGTTAGGAAATGCAGGAGGAATAATATATACCCTCAAATGGTACCTGATATTAGCTATTTTGTCTTTTTTTATTGCCATTCCTGAGCTTTTTACTTCCTTTTGAGCAACCCACAACAGCTGCCTTGACTTCCATTGCTTTTTAACTTTTCCTCTCCTCTACCACAAACATTAGTCAGGCTTTACAGTCTCAGGATAATCCTGAGTGCTCTTTATCTTCACATATCCAGATTTTTGCCACCCATTTCTTCATATTTATTGAAGACATTAATCCATTCTACACTTGTTGTATCACCTCAGTAAAGCAGAAGGTAAACAGTGGAGAGAGGGTAGAATTCTGGTCAAGATATGGTGACAAAAAGGTACTCCAGATTCAAAAAGGTTTGGGTTGTCTGCATGTTTGGAAGAAAAACCCTACAAACTAAACCAAACAAATTATCTTAGTTTTTGCTGAAGGCAGTTATTAGTGTTTATTATAGACATCTTAAATTTTATTTTTTGTGGTTATGCACTAGAGATGGTTCGTAGTTTCTTGTATCTCATGTTATCTCCTGACTTTTTCCTGTTCCACCTTTCCCATCTTCATGCCTCTTTATCTCTGTTCCTTTACAATTGTCCTACTACTTTTTCTCTCATCTTAACTCTGTTTATAAACCTTCATTGCAACCCAAAAAGTTGTTTGTAATCAACCCTTTCATAAAGTGATACTCTGTAATCTTCTAAAAGTATAATGTAATCTTACCAGAGTTACTTAAAATAAAACCAAATAACAACTTAGCTTGTTCTGCCTTCTTCCTGTATTTCTTCTCCCTGTTCCTTTCTTAGGCTGTTCTTCACTTCTCATCTTAATGTCAATTGTATGTTTTGGGGGGAGAAAGCTCACTTTAAAAAAAAAAAAAGTGCCCACTTTTGTATATTCTAATCATATTCTATATACACACTATCTCATGTATTTTACTGCTCCTTAACTCCTGAATTTCCTGGAACTGTGACCAAAAGTTACAGATATTAAAGGTGTCATCTGTAAGTCATATCACATCACATATCTCTCATTTAATTTTCTACCTGTTGTCCAAAATATTGAATTAAATTTTTTGTCTTACAGCTTAAAGCACCTGTACAACTCAGCCTGCACTTCTCTCCCAAAATACATAATTAGACATTAATAAGCCTGGACTTTTACCTTCCTAGTCCAAAATATGTATTGAAGAAAGAAACAGCTTATTGTAACAGAATAAAAATCTTGACATTGGAAAACCCTTTTAGTGTGAATTACTGTTGAGTGTTAACTGTCATGGTATTTTTGGCAGGGATCGTATCTGAATGTCAGCAAGAAAGATCTCAAATTAGAAACAAAGAGAAGGCTATGCAAATGCTATGTGCTAAGCTATACAACGCCAAACTGGAAGAAGAAACCAAAAAGAGAAACAGTGTTCGAAAGATTCAAGTAAGTTTCACTTAGTAAGGATATAATTCTGTATGAGCATATGTCCTTGGGGTAAAATCCTGTGTTGAACTGCAAAAAGTAAATGGAAATAGAGGAACAGGAGTCCAGGAAGGACTTATATAAGGCAAAAAAATTACATTCTACTTCTGCAATAAAGATCGCATATTAGCTAGACTTAAAATTTCAGTAGTATGTAAATTCTAGAGATCCAGTGAAACAAACTGGATTAGAGTGTGAAGAACCAAAATAGTGTTAGATAAAGATACAGTAAAATTGTTCTTTTACATGTTTGAGAACAATTACTGCAGCTACTGAACTGGTCTAAGTACTACACAAGAAATTTTGGATAATCAGGGGAGAAAGAGAAAGCTGTCACTTTAGGTGCTTAATACTTCATCCTTTTAATAAAAATATATTAATGGTAAACTGATTCTTCTTGTTTGTTAGATTGGGACTAAAGGAAGATCAGAGAAGATCAGGACATACAACTTTCCACAGGACCGAATTACTGACCACAGGATAAGCAGATCGGTGCATCATATTGAGTGTTTCATGCTAGGGGAAGAAATGCTAGATGAAATGATACACACACTGAAAGAATATGCTGATTATGAATCTTTAATGGAAGTTATTTCAGAAAATGAAAAGAAGAACCTATCCTGAATATTGCTTTTTGTCAGCCTGTTACAACAGATGTAGACATTTGTCTGCAAAGGAGCTTCTTGGAGCACCACCCAGAAAATGCAACTGCTTTTCAGATCATGAAAGACATCACAGCTTGTTTCCTCATGACTGATAAACAGTTTTCTTACTTGCTGAGTAAAAGACTTTATTACCTTCATATGAGACATTATTGCTATGGCAATCCACTTAAAAAGTAAATTTGACTGGGCCAGAAGTAACTGCAGTTCTTTACTTTCTTCACGGAGAAGATACTGCTACACCCCTCTCGAAAGGTACGCATTAAAAAATGAGCTATTTCTAGTTCCGGTTTTCATTTAAACAATACTTTAAATGTCATTACAGTGTCAAATAGCTTACTTGAGAGAACAAAAATCCTATTTTATTTCAGTGATTGGAAGAAAGTGATAAATGACCCCACTACTAATGTGCATATTTGCTAATCACTTACACGTGGCATGGGAGAAGGAGTTAAAGTGTATATCCTTTATGTGGAAGCCAAGTGACAAGTTACGTGAATTATCTTTGAAAAAATGTTCCTGTTCTTGAGTCAAAAGTTAAAAGAATAATTACAATATTGTTTGTCTGATATTTCAGCCTCCATTTGGCTCCAGTTCAGTTTCTCCTTTATGTTTTTAATTGACTCTCAGGTTTATTGATTTCCTAAAGGTTACGTAGTATGAACGGCATCTTATTGTTTTTGTGTATTTATTTAACAGCATCTTAAAATGTTTGATTGGTGAAAACAAAGTAAAACATTTGCCTTTCTGATGTACTGATATATGTGCATATGTTCATATCTATGGGTAAAGAAGACTTTTAACCTTTATTTTAGACTACATTTTACAATTCCAAATACATACAGCAATACAAAACCCGCAGCTCCCATGCCACATTATCCCGTCATTCATTGAACCTATGCATATATGTGTGTACACACACAGAATGTATTTGAAATATAAATTACCAGTAAATAAGAAATTGGAACCTAAGGAAAAATGTTACCAGGAAGATAGGGGCCTTTACTTTCAGACTTCTAATTAAATTAGTGTATGAAATCAGAATAGGAACAAAGTAAGTTTGCTACAGATAGCTGGTAGAAATGCATTATTTAAACATCCTATATAAATATAAACTGATTATTATCACTTTATTAGCTTTTTTTATTACATACAGACAGACTACAGTTTGAACCAATCTATATAAAAAATGCATAGAATTTAATACATTTATCACCTTGTTTTCTAGGAAATACTGCATGGTAACTATGATTAAGTTCCAAATCTTTCAATTACAGATACATACATAAACTTAAGATGTAGGAGTGCCTGTACACATCAGGTGAGGCACACGTATTTCCTGTTGGTAAATGTGAGACCTAGGTCTAGATTTACCATCAGATTTACAATTCCCAAGTGCCACATCAGAAAGTAAAAATAAAAACATTGATGCTTTTTATGCATAAAATAATTAGATACTGATTGGAGCAGAAACTAGCACTGAGGTATTTATTCTTACCAGATCAGTGCTGTAAATGTCTTTATGCAAAGTCAAGAAGAGTAGTTTTCCAAGTTATCTTACACCAAATGATGGAAGGAGTGTGAGATTCCTTCTGTCTAACTTCAGCTTCATATTCCTCCAGACCAATAAGGGCCATCAGCCAGGTCTAAGCACTGTGCTCCTCTATGAAACATCAGAGTGTTCAGGTCTTTATCACTCTAGACCTTCCCTGATATTCCAGCTGCTGGCCTGGCTGGGCTGATCCTGCTTGGCTCTTGCCTGTCTCCTGAGCAGACACTGGGTGCCTCATTGCCTTGCAAGTGGCTGCCCTGTGATCAGTGTGAGAAAAGCCAGATACCAAGTGGCTGTAGGAAGGGGGCTGACAGACGTACCCCAGCACTGGCATCTCAGTGCCACACAAGGTGGACTTCACTGCCCTGAGCAGTGCCTCCTTGGTCTGTCATGGCAAGCATTGCTGTGGAAAGACTTGAAGTCCCTTTCTCGCTCCATACTCATTTTCATGCAGGACCTGTTGTCTCGCTGCTGCTGCAGCCTCCCTGGGCTGTGAGGGGGTCGTTTTCAGCTGCCGTGGGACCCCTGTGCTGGTGCCCAGCCTGCTCAGCTCCCTGCAGCGCCACCAGCTGCGAGTAACCTTGCCTATACTTTAAAATAAATACAGTTTATTGTGTGTACAAC